TCCCCTACATTCCTTTTTAAAGTGGTGATAGAATGATTCTATCGGGTATCTGGTCCTTCAGGTCTCTAATAGGGTGATAGAATGATTCTATCGGGTATCTGGTCCTTCAGGTCTCTAATAGGGTGATAGAATGATTCTATGATTTTATTTTTGGGCATCGATTCTAGTTTTTTTTTAGTTACTATTGGTTTGCTCCCACTCCCGTCTGCTCCCGTTAATGTTTAATCCTGTACCGTCCCAATCACGTGATCGTTACTAATACTGACTCCTGGGATTCCCGCGGGATTCCCGAAAAAATGTCAGTCTCTAGTTCACCCCCACCACCAACAAACTTCCTAGCAGACATGACGCTCAATCTGCTGATACCAAAAACCTTCTTTCTTTCTTTTTCCTTTTTTCTTTTTATTTATTCAGTTTTTTGAAGGGTGGGTGGTATCATCACTGCCCCCCTCAGAACACTGGTTTGTGCATCATTTCATGGGCATTGCGCTGCCGTACATTATGCATAATGCTGTCATTCCACATAAGTTCTGGACTCATTATGAATACTCTGTGTATATGCCAAAAATTGATCAAATACATAGAAAATTCAGCGTATGCCAGCGTTTTAGGAGATTCTGGGATGTCAGGCAGACGCTGGATAAATCGGTAAGATGTGACAGGAGCCTTATGAAGTAGAAATTGGGTAAAATTAGACCTTGCACACATGTTGAGGGAAATGCAAGCATCTGTTTCAAAAGAAAAAATAAATAATTAAATAAATGAATCAGTAATATTTATACATTCACTGTGGGGGGGCATTGGAGGGTAACATCTCTCTGGAGGCCTGCTCCTGCTGAGCCCCTTCAGGTACGATCCTCATGCTCACACTGTCCGTGGTGCTGGGGTTTACTCTGAACTTCCTGTTGATTGGCCGCACAGCACGCAGGAAATGTCTCTTAAAGGTCTCGCTGAGGACGATGTAGAGGAACGGGTTGATGCAGCTGTTGGCGTAGCCCATGCTAATGGTGAAGTTATACGTGTAGGAGAACGCCAGGCTGGGGCTCTGCACCCTAAGGTGGATGAGCTGGAGGATGTAGTATGGAGCCCAGCAGGTGAAGAAAGCAAGGCAGATGGCCACAGCCATCCTGGTCACCTTTCTGGTGCGCACCCTTAAACTGCGCGGAGGAAGCGGCGCCACGCTGGCAGACATGTGCTGCAGGATCTTGAAGAACACCAGGCAGATGATGACTAAAGGGATAGCAAAGGCTAAGAAGAACTGGTAAAGTGTAAACCAGTATATGTCATTGACCAAATCTGGGAGAAGGAGAGCACAGGCGACGAGTCCATCAGGCAGAGGCATCAGACCAGCATACATCCACACCGGGATGATCGTGAGCAGAGACAGCCCCCACACCAGTCCGATGACCAGCATGGCGACGCAGGGTGTGCGGATGTGGTTGAAGCGCATGGGGTGAACTGTCGCCAGGTAACGGTCAAGGGTCATGGCGGTGAGGATGTAAGTGCTGACGATCTGGCTGTTGGAGTCCAGGGCGGTGATGACCGTGCACATGGCCGCACCGAAGTGCCACGTCCCGTTGCCAAGCAACTGGTGGATGAGGAAGGGCATCCCGAGGAGAAACAGGAGGTCGACGATTGACAGGTTTAAGATGAATATGTCTGGAACCGTTTGCTTGGCGCGGCACTTGGTCTTTTTCAGGATGGTGTAGATGACGATGCAGTTCCCGATGATCCCCAGGAAACAGATGATGCCGAAGATGACAGGGAGGCTCGCTCCGCAGCGAGGGGCGTCATCTGCGGCTGGAACGAAAAACACGTCAGGTCAACCATGCTGAAAACAGCCCTACCATCTGAACATGATCAATCTAATAATAATAAGCAGTGAGTAGAGATAAAACTGTTTTTACAGAAATAAGAATTAAATTACAAACTTTTTGACAGAATCCAAAGAAACATTAAACCAGAAAAACCCAACAGAAAGTTACTGTAAATGCAAATATATTCACATTTATAAGAACTTTA